AATTGACATTTGCCATAAAGGGAAAGCCTGAAGCGTTCCATCAAATATGGGGGGAATTCTTGGAGTTTTTGGAAATAAATGTACCTCCTAATTGACCATGTCCTCTATAATGGTTGGATGTGATGTGGCTTTGTAACTTGCAATGTTTAAATTACAATATTTACCACATGTCCACTTACGCGTGTATATGTGTATATATTTTTTTCTTTTTTTTCCTTTCTTTCTTGTATTTGTATTGTATTATGTTTTTGATTTTTCTTTGTGGGATAAATACTTGTGCAATGTCTTATGCTGAAAAAACGAAATACCAATACAAATATTTGTCAAAAAAAAATACACCATTTTCCAGCTCTGTAATGAAAAGGATATCAAGATGAGGTACATCACAGGAGTGATAAAACATCCACACATGCACACTTATCTTATTCTAGTAGAGATTAGAGGACAGGTCTAATGTTCTGTACAAAATGATCAAGTCAAAGTTATTTTATTTATTTTATCTTATGTACCACATTTAATTTAATAATTCATCTTAAATTACTAATAACTTTAAAGAAGGCAACAATTTACAATGTGGATAAGGTGACTACTTATCCAAAGTGTGTGTGTGTGTGTGTGTGTGTGTGTGTGTGTGTGTGTGTGTGTGTGTGTGTGTGTGTGTGTGTGTGTGTGTGTGTGTGTGTGTGTGTGTGTGTGTTGTGTGTGTGTGTGTGTGTGTTGTGTGTGTGTGTGTTTGTGTGTGTGTGTGTGTGTGTGTGTGTGTGTGTGTGTGTGTGTGTGTGTGTGTGTGTGTGTGTGTGTGTGTGTGTGTGTGTGTGTGTGGTGTGTGTGTGTGTGTGTGTGTGTGTGTGTGTGTGTGTGTGTGTGTGTGTGTGTGTGTGTGTGTGTGTGTGAACAGCTTGTCTGCTCAAGGTTAAAACATTTGGGACAGCAGTGAGAATGTTATGAGAAACAATTTGTTGCTTAGACTGAACTCAAAAGAAGCTGAGATTAGAACATTTGAAATAAATCAAAACACTTGCACATTAATTAAATACATTTGACATTTAGCTTGAGCTGGGTTCAATACTTTCTTTATGGTATTTAAATTGGGCTCAAGTAGAACCTTTACATGGATTTGGCTTGCAACACAAAGTGATACCGATCTCTGTCTGTTATGATTTGAAAGTCTCATGATTTAAAGTGTAGGGCTGTGAAGGAGAGGCCCTTGGAAAACAACCTCTACTTCTTTGTTAACTGTAATGACTTATTGTAAAGAGATTGCAACCTTATACTTTTTAAAGAATTGCTCAATTCATTTAACACATTTATTATGCACACTGTAATGAAAACGTCAACAAATATATTGATCCTGGCTTAACCAGCGACCTTTACTCTTTTGTTCATAAGCTCGGTTTCAGAAAACTTGTCAGTAGTTTAACAACTATTATAATTGTAGTAATGTCTATGGAGACCAATTGGTTGATACGAGAAATCATTTGAAGCAGTTTAATAAAGAATGTTAAACTATATTTAAAACTGTAATTAAACTTCAACTTATATTAATTATCTGAATCCAGTGGCCAGTTGGAACAGATAATCAACAAAGTTTCCATTTTGCAGCAACAGCGCAAAAGGTTTCAACAATAATTTGTATTATGTCTGAGTCTAGTTCTGTCTTATCAGCTTTGTTTCGGAATGTGTTCAATACATTACGTTTTTTTCATTATTACCATACAATACATAGATTTAAGAATAAATGAAACAAATAATACAATATTGACCTAAAACAACAGACAGATTTTGCCACCCTGACCTCCTCAGGCAGGTCTTTACGACCAGCAGTGATGCCTCTCAGGGTCTCAGGGTGCAGGACGGGGCATAGGGTTTATAAAAGGTCACAAACATATCTTAACATACCAGCAATACAATTTAAAATGTATTCTTAAAGTAATATAATCTTCTCTTCTTCTTACACCTACAGCGCACACCCTGAACAGTGTGCTCCTTGTTTACATTTCCTCTGCACACTCAGATGCAGGACATAAAACACTCTTTTGCTATTTATTTTCATTTTGCAGCACATCTATACTACCAGAATTTTGCAAAACACTATATATTATTTATCTTTCTCAAGTCATTTACTTTTGGTGAGTTAACTAAAGCTTAGTTTATTTTACTCTGGCTATGGACTGATTCATTATTAGTTGTTACAAAACATGCACAAGACGGCGGTTAGACAAACCAATATAGACCCCTGATACAAACAATCAGACAAACAAACATGATGAACTCGTAATAAACACCAGCGTGACAGCAAAAGTTCATCCAGCTCAATTTAGTCCGGATTAAAGAGGTTTCAGAGGGGGTAGGGACTATTTGATCTCTCCCAATGGGAACCCAGTGGGGTACCTTGACTCGTGCCTCCACCCTTGTATACAAGTCCTTAGATCGGTGCCTGAAGACCGTCCAAGAGCAATAACTAGCTTATCCTCTTGCGACTCCACTATCCCTGCTCTAGTGGTGCTATGCCCCCCGATCAGGAGCACATAGACTTTTTTCCTCTACCCTTTCTATCCGAAACCACACAGTTAACTGTAGTCCTACTCGACCAGCCTACACACCTCCCATCATGTTCATCCCAACGATGAAACACAGTTTTGCTCTACACTTGCATACCACTGCCCACCCATGATCAATTAGCCTATAATTTTATGTATGCACCCCGGACCGACACCAGCTCCTCCAGCAATGTAGGGAGCCTGTCGCATCAGGTAATGCATGCACCTCGCACCTGCCAGCACACCTCTGAATGTAAATGGCCACAAGCCACGAGATCGCTTTTAAACAGTCTCGTTTTTAATAGAGACGGCGGTGGTGTGAGTTAAAGCTATAGACAAAAGCTGTGATTTTCTCCCTCTGAGTTCACTTCACCAGCTCATGCAGATACGGGGAGGTATTTTACACACATTCCCCGGAGCCGCAGCTGGAGCCGTGTTTTTTTTAGAGGCGCTGGGGGTAATATCTCTGGCTGCTTTAGTTAACTGCTAGTGTTGGCCGCTGAAACCCCCGGAATCTCGGCGATTTGTTCATTACAAATCTCTATTTTGATTTCACACAGAAGTTCCACTTTACTGCTGCCCTCATTAAGGTCTTTTTAAACATCTCCGTGTATGCCTGCACGGCACATACGTCCCGAGCAGCACACACAGAGGGAACCAGCCAAGACAGAGTCCCTGGATGATCCCCTGGGGTTACTAGCCCCAAATGTTCATTAACCAAAACGAAACGCAGCCGCTTAGCTTCACAGATAATTTTAGGATACCGTCAATCACAGATTCTGGTAAGGCAATGTCCAAATGTAGATTTGAAATCACACTTACCAGTCTCTGAAGATCTGTTGGTATCCTGCCGACAACGCCAATTTGTGGAGGAAACTTCTGTGTAGTAATGCATGGAGTCACCGACTCAGGAAGGAGACACGGTGAGAGTTGGAGCTTTGATGTCAAACACTGATGGGTTTATTCAGAGTATTCGGCCGGAGGATTCACATCACAAATCAAAGAGTCAGAGGTTCTGACCACACGGTAGAGTTGCCACGTCAATTCTGAAGAACCTCTCTCTATGCTAGACCTTTTAACTGGTTCACAGAGAGAAATCAACATCTCTGAAGGAGTAGACTAAACACTGAATTTGTGTCCGACGCTCATGGCCTCAAGGATTTCACATCCTAGAGCCCACAAACACTGATAAAGAAGTGCCTCAGTGTTCTCACAACAATTACCCTACGTGCCAGACAAGTTGACCGGTCTCACACTGGTGACAACAACACATATGGCACCAAGGCCTTTCCTTAAAGGAGATAACACGTCACAGAGCAAAAGGTTAGATATCTAGAAGAATTATTCCTTAACACCCTTTAAGTGACCAAAACAAGTATGTGTGTGAGGTTTATTCAAGATGTTATAAAATAAAAATTAATAATAATATAATATTTAATATAATAATTAGAAGAATATATACAATTATAATAATCATAAATAATAATTATAATACTCTATTTAATAATTGATCTTCTGCCTGCACTGGTTCTGTTCGCAGCGGATGAATCTGATGATGAAGATGAAGACGCTTCTTCCTTCCTCGCCCCCCCCCTCCTTCCTGAGGTGTCACCGGTTGCCGTGGAGACGCTGTCGATGCGCTACGACCACGCCCGGTGGGAGGAACAGGCGGCCGCCGTGGGGATGGGAGGCGTGGCCTCAGAGGACTTTGAATCCGCCCCCAACGACTACTACACCCTCAGACTCAGAGGTGCTTTATCTCTGAATTTAAAAACTACAGATTTATTTATATTTGTATTGTCACACGCTCGGGAACTGAAGCTCCTCGAATGCACACATTTAGTTTTTTAATATTTTATTTATTTAGAATTTTCAATCGATCTAGTGATTAAAATGTTCCTTCAGTAAATATAATGAACATGTCTTGCGTATTGTTGTCTTAGCAGGAGATAAAACCCTCCTCATTAAACATAAAGTTTAACATGTAAGCGCTTTATAAATAACATTCATTATTATTATAAAGCTGGGATTTGTAGTTCTTTTGGTTTGTGTTTCCTGCAGCTCTGTCGGACGGGGTGTTTCTGGACGTGGTCTTTCTCCCTCTCTCCCCCCCAGATGACCTCATCGACATGGCCGCCCAGCTGTCCAATCAGAGGCTGATGTGTGTCCTGGAGGCGTGTCATCTGGGCGGAGCCTCAACAGAGCTGGTCCTGAGCCGCGCGTTTCGCCTGAACCACTAACGCACTTCATATCTATTTATTTTATTTACGGAAGTTATTTTATGTTCGAAAAAATTCTGGAAAAACATTTTATTTCTTGGAAAAAAAATTCAGTTTTATCCAGAATCCGTTCATGTTCTTAAAATATTAGCACTTTATTTTTACTTTTTTACTAGATTGAATCCAGAATCTATTCCAGTTAATCGTGTACTCGGAGGTTGTTTATACTGATGTTATCATGTTTTATAGCAGGTGTGTTTTTGAAGTCTCCTGTTGGACTAAAAGATAATAAAACAGCTGATCAATAACCTGAACCAGCTGATCAATAACCTGAACCAGCTGATCAATAACCTGAACCAGCCCGTTGGCATGAGATTATTTATTGGTATCTTCCTGGTATTCAGAGGTTAGGGGCTGTTAGCCTCCCTTGTGTCTCTGGCAGATGGATTTAATCCTCATGGAGCAGTGCAGGTCGTTGAGGCGTCCGTCGTCATGAAGATGAGCGCAATCTTCATCTCCGGCTCCGAGTCCGTGAAGAGTAAAAGCGTCCGGCTGCCCGGGCATCCAGCGTCTGGAGGGACACATCGTGAGAGACACAGAGACGGAGGGGGAGTTGTTAGAAACAGAAAGACGGAGGGGGAGTCGTTAGAAGCAGAAAGACGGAGGGGGAGTCGTTAGAAGCAGAAAGACGGAGGGGGAGTCGTTAGAAGCAGAAAGACGGAGGGGGGAGTCGTTAGAAGCAGAAAGACTGAGGGGGAGTCGTTAGAAACAGAAAGACGGAGGGGGAGTCGTTAGAAGCAGAAAGACGGAGGGGGAGTCGTTAGAAACAGAAGGAGGGGGAATCGTTAGAAGCAGAAAGACGGAGGGGGAGTCGTTAGAAGCAGAAAGACGGAGGGGGAGTCGTTAGAAGCAGAAAGACGGAGGGGGAGTTGTTAGAAGCAGAAAGACTGAGGGGGAGTCGTTAGAAACAGAAAGACGGAGGGGGAGTCGTTAGAAGCAGAAAGACGGAGGGGGAGTCGTTAGAAGCAGAAAGACGGAGGGGGGAGTCGTTAGAAGCAGAAAGACGGAGGGGGAGTCGTTAGAAGCAGAAAGACGGAGGGGGAGTCGTTAGAAGCAGAAAGACGGAGGGGGAGTCGTTAGAAGCAGAAAGACGGAGGGGGAGTCGTTAGAAGCAGAAAGACGGAGGGGGAGTCGTTAGAAGCAGAAAGACGGAGGGGGAGTCGTTAGAAACAGAAGACGGAGGGGGAGTTCGTTAGAAGCAGAAAGACTGAGGGGGAGTCGTTAGAAGCAGAAAGACGGAGGGGGAGTCGTTAGAAGCAGAAAGACGGAGGGGGAGTCGTTAGAAACAGAAAGACGGAGGGGGAGTCGTTAGAAACAGAAGGAGGGGGAGTCGTTAGAAGCAGAAAGACGGAGGCGGAGTTGTTAGAAGCAGAAAGACGGAGGGGGAGTCGTTAGAAGCAGAAAGACGGAGGGGGAGTCGTTAGAAGCAGAAAGACGGAGGGGGAGTCGTTAGAAACAGAAGGAGGGGGAGTCGTTAGAAACAGAAAGACGGAGGGGGAGTCGTTAGAAACAGAAAGACGGAGGGGGAGTCGTTAGAAGCAGAAAGACGGAGGGGGAGTCGTTAGAAGCAGAAAGACGGAGGGGGAGTCGTTAGAAACAGAAAGACGGAGGGGGAGTCGTTAGAAGCAGAAAGACGGAGGGGGAGTCGTTAGAAACAGAAGGAGGGGGAGTCGTTAGAAGCAGAAAGACGGAGGGGGAGTCGTTAGAAGCAGAAAGACGGAGGGGGGAGTCGTTAGAAGCAGAAAGACGGAGGGGGAGTCGTTAGAAGCAGAAAGACGCGAGGTGGGGAGTCGTTAGAAACAGAAAGACGGAGGGGGAGTCGTTAGAAACAGAAAGACGGAGGGGGAGTCGTTAGAAAGCAGAAAGAGGGAGGGGGAGTCGTTAGAAGCAGAAAGACGGAGGGGGGAGTCGTTAGAAGCATAAAGACGGAGGGGGAGTCGTTAGAAGCAGAAAGACGGAGGGGGGAGTCGTTAGAAGCAGAAAGACGGAGGGGGAGTCGTTAGAAGCAGAGTCGTTAGAAGCAGAAAGACGGAGGGGGAGTCGTTAGAAACAGAAAGACGGAGGGGGAGTCGTTAGAAGCAGAAAGACGGAGGGGGAGTCGTTAGAAGCAGAAAGACGGAGGGGGAGTCGTTAGAAACAGAAGGAGGGGGAGTCGTTAGAAACAGAAAGACGGAGGGGGAGTCGTTAGAAACAGAAAGACGGAGGGGGAGTCGTTAGAAGCAGAAAGACGGAGGGGGAGTCGTTAGAAGCAGAAAGACGGAGGGGGAGTCGTTAGAAGCAGAAAGACGGAGGGGGAGTCGTTAGAAGCAGAAAGACGGAGGGGGAGTCGTTAGAAGCAGAAAGACGGAGGGGGAGTCGTTAGAAACAGAAAGACGGAGGGGGGAGTCGTTAGAAAGCAGAAAGACTGAGGGGGAGTCGTTAGAAACAGAAAGACGGAGGGGGAGTCGTTAGAAGCAGAAAGACGGAGGGGGAGTCGTTAGAAACAGAAAGACGGAGGGGGAGTCGTTAGAAACAGAAAAACGGAGGGGGAATCGTTAGAAGCAGAAAGACGGAGGGGGAGTCGTTAGAAGCAGAAAGACGGAGGGGGAGTCGTTAGAAACAGAAAGACGGAGGGGGAGTCGTTAGAAGCAGAAAGACTGAGGGGGAGTCGTTAGAAACAGAAAGACGGAGGGGGAGTCGTTAGAAGCAGAAAGACGGAGGGGGAGTCGTTAGAAACAGAAAGACGGAGGGGGGAGTCGTTAGAAACAGAAAAACGGAGGGGGAATCGTTAGAAGCAGAAAGACGGAGGGGGAGTCGTTAGAAGCAGAAAGACGGAGGGGGAATCGTTAGAAGCAGAAAGACGGAGGGGGAGTCGTTAGAAACAAAAAGACGGAGGGGGAGTCGTTAGAAGCAGAAAGACGGAGGGGAGTCGTAGAAGCAGAAAGACGGAGGGGGAGTCGTTAGAAACAGAAAGACGGAGGGGGAGTCGTTAGAAGCAGAAAGACTGAGGGGGAGTCGTTAGAAGCAGAAAGACGGAGGGGGGAGTCGTTAGAAGCAGAAAGACAGAGGGGGAGTCGTTAGAAGCAGAAAGACGAGGGGGAGTCGTTAGAAGCAGAAAGACGGAGGGGGGAGTCGTTAGAAACAGAAGGAGGGGGAGTCGTTAGAAACAGAAAGACGGAGGGGGAGTCGTTAGAAACAGAAAGACGGAGGGGGAGTCGTTAGAAGCAGAAGACGGAGGGGGAGTCGTTAGAAGCAGAAAGACGGAGGGGGAGTCGTTAGAAGCAGGAAGACGGAGGGGGAGTCGTTAGAAGCAGAAAGACGGAGGGGGAGTCGTTAGAAGCAGAAAGACTGAGGGGGAGTCGTTAGAAGCAGAAAAGACGGAGGGGGGAGTCGTTAGAAGCAGGAAGACGGAGGGGGAGTCGTTAGAAACAGAAAGACGGAGGGGGAGTCGTTAGAAGCAGAAAGACTGAGGGGGAGTCGTTAGAAGCAGAAAGACGGAGGGGGAGTCGTTAGAAGCAGAAAGACGGAGGGGGAGTCGTTAGAAACAGAAAGACGGAGGGGGAGTCGTTAGAAGCAGAAAGACGGAGGGGGGAGTCGTTAGAAACCGAAAGACGGAGGGGGAGTCGTTAGAAGCAGAAAGACTGAGGGGGAGTCGTTAGAAGCAGAAAGACGGAGGGGGAGTCGTTAGAAGCAGAAAGACGGAGGGGGAGTCGTTAGAAACAGAAAGACGGAGGGGGAGTCGTTAGAAACAGAAGGAGGGGGAGTCGTTAGAAGCAGAAAGACGGAGGCGGAGTTGTTAGAAGCAGAAAGACGGAGGGGGAGTCGTTAGAAGCAGAAAGACGGAGGGGGGAGTCGTTAGAAGCAGAAAGACGGAGGGGGGAGTCGTTAGAAACAGAAGGAGGGGGGAGTCGTTAGAAACAGAAAGACGGAGGGGGAGTCGTTAGAAACAGAAAGACGGAGGGGGAGTCGTTAGAAGCAGAAAGACGGAGGGGGAGTCGTTAGAAACAGAAAGAGGTGGGAGTCGTTGAAAGCAGAAAGACGGGAGGGGGAGTTCGTTAGAAGCAGAAAGACGGAGGGGGGAGTCGTTAGAAGCAGAAAGACGGAGGGGGAGTCGTTAGGAAAAAGAGGGGGGGGGAGTCGTTAGAAACAGAAAGACGGAGGGGGAGTCGTTAGAAGCAGAAAGACGGAGGGGGGAGTCGTTAGAAAGCAGAAAGACGGAGGGGGAGTCGTTAGAAGCAGAAAGACGGAGGGGTGAGTCGTTAGGAAGCAGAAAGACGGAGGGGTGAGTCGTTAGAAGCAGAAAGACGGAGGGGGAGTCGTTAGAAGCAGAAAAGACGGAGGGGGGAGTCGTTAGAAGCAGAAAGACGGAGGGGAGTCGTTAGAAGCAGAAAGACGGAGGGGGGTGAGTCGTTAGAGCAGAAAGACGGAGGGGGAGTCGTTAGAAACAGAAAGACGGAGGGGGGAGTCGTTAGAATACAGAAAGACGGAGGGGGAAGTCGTTAGAAACAGAAGACGGAGGGGGAGTCGTTAGAAGCAGAAAGACGGAGGGGGAGTCGTTAGAAGCAGAAAGACGGAGGGGGGGGGGAGTCGTTAGAAGCATGAAAGACGGGAGGGGGTAGTCGTTAGAACGCAGAAAGACGGAGGGGAGTCGTTAGAAGCAGAAAGACGGAGGGGGAGTCGTTAGAAACAGAAAGAGGGGGAGTCGTTAGAAACAGAAAGACGGGGGGATCGTTAGAAGCAGAAAGACGGAGGGGGAGTCGTTAGAAGCAGAAAGACGGAGGGGGAGTCGTTAGAACAGAAAGACGGAGGGGGAGTCGTTAGAACAAAAGACGGAGGGGAGTCGTTAGAAGCAGAAGACGGAGGGGGAGTCGTTAGAAGCAGAAAGACGGAGGGGGAGTCGTTAGAAGCAGAAAGACGGAGGGGGAGTCGTTAGAAGCAGAAAGACGGAGGGGGAGTCGTTAGAAGCAGAAAGACGGAGGGGGAGTCGTTAGAAACAGAAAGACGGAGGGGGAGTCGTTAGAAGCAGAAAGACTGAGGGGGAGTCGTTAGAAGCAGAAAGACGGAGGGGGAGTCGTTAGAAGCAGAAAGACGGAGGGGGAGTCGTTAGAAGCAGAAAGACGGAGGGGGAGTCGTTAGAAGCAGAAAGACGGGGGGGAGTCGTTAGAAGCAGAAAGACGGAGGGGGAGTCGTTAGAAGCAGAAAGACGGAGGGGGAGTCGTTAGAAGCAGAAAGACGGAGGGGGAGTCGTTAGAAGCAGAAAGACGGAGGGGGAGTCGTTAGAAGCAGAAAGACGGAGGGGGAGTCGTTAGAAGCAGAAAGACGGAGGGGGAGTCGTTAGAAGCAGAAAGACGGAGGGGGAGTCGTTAGAAACAGAAAGACGGAGGGGGAGTCGTTGTTAGAACAGAAAGACGGAGGGGGAGTCGTTAGAACAGAAAGGCGGAGGGGGAGTCGTTAGAAGCAGAAAGACGGAGGGGGAGTCGTTAGAAGCAGAAAGACGGAGGGGGAGTCGTTAGAAACAGAAAGACGGAGGGGGAGTCGTTAGAAGCAGAAAGACGGAGGGGGAGTCGTTAGAAGCAGAAAGACGGAGGGGGAGTCGTTAGAAGCAGAAAGACGGAGGGGGAGTCGTTAGAAGCAGAAAGACGGAGGGGGAGTCGTTAGAAGCAGAACGGAGGGGGAGTCGTTAGAAGCAGAAAGACGGAGGGGGAGTCGTTGTTAGAGAACAGAAAGACGGAGGGGAGTCGTTAGAAGCAGAAAGACGGAGGGGGAGTCGTTAGAAACAGAAAGACGGAGGGGGAGTCGTTAGAAGCAGAAAGACGGAGGGGGAGTCGTTAGAAGCAGAAAGACAGAGGGGGAGTCGTTAGAAGCAGAAAGACGGAGGGGGAGTCGTTAGAAGCAGAAAGACGGGGGGGAGTCGTTAGAAACAGAAGGAGGGGGAGTCGTTAGAAGAGAAAGACGGAGGGGGAGTCGTTAGAAGCAGAAAGACGGAGGGGGAGTCGTTAGAAGCAGAAAGACGGAGGGGGAGTCGTTAGAAGCAGAAAGACGGAGGGGGAGTCGTTAGAACAGAAAGACGGAGGGGGAGTCGTTAGAAGCAGAAAGACGGAGGGGGAGTCGTTAGAAACAGAAGGAGGGGGAGTCGTTAGAAGCAGAAAGACGGAGGGGGAGTCGTTAGAAGCAGAAAGACGGAGGGGGAGTCGTTAGAAGCAGAAAGACGGAGGGGAGTCGTTAGAAGCAGAAAGACGGAGGGGGGAGTCGTTAGAAGCAGAAGGGGGGGGAGTCGTTAGAAACAGAAAGACGGAGGGGGAGTCGTTAGAAACAGAAAGACGGAGGGGGAGTCGTTAGAAGCAGAAAGACTGAGGGGGAGTCGTTAGAAGCAGAAAGACGGAGGGGGAGTCGTTAGAAGCAGAAAGACGGAGGGGGAGTCGTTAGAACAGAAAGACGGAGGGGGAGTCGTTAGAAGCAGAAAGACGGAGGGGGAGTCGTTAGAAACAGAAAGACGGAGGGGGAGTCGTTAGAAGCAGAAAGACGGAGGGGGAATCGTTAGAAGCAGAAAGACGGAGGGGGAGTCGTTAGAAGCAGAAAGACGGAGGGGGAGTCGTTAGAAACAAAAAGACGGAGGGGGAGTCGTTAGAAGCAGAAAGACTGAGGGGGAGTCGTTAGAAGCAGAAAGACGGAGGGGGAGTCGTTAGAAAGCAGAAAGACCGAGGGGGAGTCGTTAGAAGCAGAAAGACGGAGGGGGAGTCGTTAGAAGCAGAAAGACGGAGGGGGAGTCGTTAGAAAACAGAAAGACGGAGGGGGAGTCGTTAGAAGCAAGAAAGACGGAGGGGGAGTCGTTAGAAGCAGAAAGACTGAGGGGGAGTCGTTAGAAGCAGAAAGACGGAGGGGGAGTCGTTAGAAGCAGAAAGACGGAGGGGGAGTCGTTAGAAGCAGAAAGACGGAGGGGGAGTCGTTAGAAGCAGAAAGACTGAGGGGGAGTCGTTAGAAGCAGAAAGACAGAGGGGGAGTCGTTAGAAGCAGAAAGACGGAGGGGGAGTCGTTAGAAGCAGAAAGACGGAGGGGGAGTCGTTAGAAGCAGAAAGACTGAGGGGAGTCGTTAGAAGCAGAAAGACGGAGGGGGAGTCGTTAGAAGCAGAAAGACGGAGGGGGAGTTGTTAGAAGCAGAAAGACTGAGGGGGAGTCGTTAGAAGCAGAAAGACGGAGGGGGAGTCGTTAGAAACAGAAAGACGGAGGGGGAGTCGTTAGAAACAGAAAGACGGAGGGGGAGTCGTTAGAAGCAGAAAGACGGAGGGGGAGTCGTTAGAAGCAGAAACAGATCGAAGCAGTTTCCCACAGAGACAGAGGGCGGGGCTCACCTGCGGTTCATGACGTAGGGCGTGTGGTTGACCCACTCCCATTGGCCGGTCCTCCCGTCCGTCAGACCCACCCAGTAGTAGGTTCCAGTGGAGTGAGATTTGACAAAGACCTGAACAGAGACAGGAAGCTGGTTTAACTTCCTCACACTGAGTAGTTTTATTATCTTTTTATTTTTATTGTATAAACTTTTGTTTATCTTTAACTTGCACTATGGACGTCAAGCTCCTACTTTTTGCACTCTTTATTGGAATGTTTCTGTTCACTACCTTGTCCAGGGTTTCCTCGTGCAGTGAACGTCCCATTGTTTACACTCGGGATCAGCTGTTAGCCTTCCGTAGCATGGCGATGCTAACCCGCTGTTCCCCGCGAGCTGAGGAGAAGGAGACGGGGACGCCGTGCCGGGGCAAAGCTGCGAGCCAGGAGGAGACGATACAGACCTTCCATCTATCACCATGAGGAATGTTAGATCTCTCCTGAACAAGATGGGCGAGATCGCGGCGCTGACCCGGCATGAGAGGGAGTATCGGGAGAGCAGCATCCTCGTGTTTACTGAGACGTGGCTAACGGAGCTAACCCCGGACACTAACGCTACACTGGATGGCTTTCATCTGCTGAGGGCGGACAGGACAAGAGAGAGTGGTGAGAGGAAAGGAGGAGGGCTGGCTGTGTTTGTGAACGATAGATGGTGTAATCCAGAGCTGTTAGCCGTTAGCATGAGGCCCCACTATTTACCTCGAGAATTCACGCATATATTCCCCCCTCTGCAAACGCTGAAGAGGCATGTGACAGCTCTACTGTAAGCAGACTACAAACACAGCACCCAAATGCTCTTCTCCTGATCTCTGGAGACTTCAATCAGGCCTCTCTCTCAAAAACTCTGCCCACTTTCAAACAGTATGTTCCCTGCCCCACCAGAGGCAATACACCACTGGATCTACTGTACGCCAACACCAAGGACGCATACAGCTCATCCCCCCTTCTGCCCCTGGGCAATTCTGACCACAACCTGGTTCACCTCCAGCCTGTGTACCAACCTCTGGTCCACAGGCAGCCGGTGCCCACACGCACCGTGAAGAAGTGGTCTGAGGAGTCTGAGGAGTCTGAGGAGTCTGAGGAGGCCCTGAAAGACTGCTTTGACACTACCGTGTGGGATGTGTTCACTGACTCTCACGGGGAGGACATCAACGGCCTCACAGACTGCATCACGGACTATATTAACTTCTGTGAGGAAAACGTCGTACCCACCAGGACTGTACGGTTTTTCCCTGGGTTACCCCTGGAATAAAGGCTCTCCTGAAGGACAGAAAGAGGGCCTTCAGATCTGGCAACAGAGAGGAGCTGAAGACTGGACAGAGGGAGCTGAGGTGGAAGATCAGAGAGGGGAAAAACAGCTACAGGAAGAGGATGAGGAACAGCTGCTGCAGAGGAACGTCAGCGGAGTCTGGAGAGGCCTGAAAACCATCTCTGGCTACAAAGAGCCAGACTCCCAGGTCCGGGGGGACCAGGGAGTCTGGAGAGGCCTGAAAACCATCTCTGGCTACAAAGAGCCAGACTCCAGTGGACCGCCAGTAGGCAAACGACTTGAATAACTTCTTCAACAGATTTGATCAGTCATGCGCCTCCCCCCCCCCGACCCATTCCCCCCTGCTGCACCCCCCATTGTCCCCACTGCCTGGAAATGGCCCTGTCCCCTCTCCCACCTCTACTCAGCCCCCGGCCATCAGCTCACAGACACATCTCACATCAGCCCCTGTCGGGGAAAAGTAAAGGTGGCGGTGTGTGTGTAATGACTAATAACAACTGGTGCTCAGATGTGAAGGTTATTTCTTCGGACTGTTCCGCACAGCTAGAGCACCTCATGATCACATGTCGGGCCTTCCATCTGCCGAGGGAATTCACATCTGTTGTGATAACAGCAGTGTATATCCCGCCGCAGTCGCTCGCCGACAACAACACGGCACTCGATCAGCTGTTTGGGATTATTGATAAGACCGAGACTTCACGGCCAGATGCGGCGTTCGTTGTGGCCGGAGATTTCAACACCGCCAACATGAAGAAGGTCCTGCCAAAATATTACCAACACATCAGCTGCCCGACGCGCGGGGGAAACATACTGGACCATGTTTATTCCCCTTTTCGACATGGATACAAGGCTCTCCCTCGCCCTCCCTTCGGCAAATCAGACCATATCTCACTACTGTTGTTGCCTGCTTACAAGCAGAAACTAAAACGGCATAGACCGATAACAAGGACAGTACAGCGATGGAGCGAGGAGTCAGATGCAGCACTGCAGGATTGCTTTGCATCCACGGATTGGAGTGTGTTTGAGGACAATAACATCAACACACACACGGACACTGTCATCTGCTACATTGGGAAATGCATCGATGACGTGGTACCGAAGGTTTCTGTACGGACATTCCCAAATCAAAAGCCCTGGGTAAACTGCGAGGTGCGCGGCAAACTGAAAGCGCGCACTCTCGCGCACACAGCGGGAGATTTGGAGGAGTACAGGAAGTCTAGGTATGATCTCCGGAGAGCAATTAGCAATGCAAAGAGACAGTACAAAGAGAAGGTGGAATCTGACTTCAAAGGCTGTAACACCAGGAACATGTGGGCGGGACTAAGGACAATGACTGACTACAAAGGAGCAGCGGGGGGGTGCTGCGGGAGTGTCTGCGTGCGCATCTCTCCCAGATGAGCTAAACAGTTTCTTTGCACGCTTTGAGAGCAGCCGGGCTGTGGAGGTACAGAGGGACCAGGAGCTACACTGCCCTTTTGTTTTAAATAGGGCAGATGTGTGTAAATCCTTTAAAAGGGTTAACCCACACAAGGCTCCTGGACCTGATGGCATCCCTGGCCGTGTTCTCAGGGTGTGTGCAGTTCAGCTGGCAGAGGTGTTCACAGACATCTTCAACAGGTCCCTGCTGCAGTCTGTAGTCCCCACATGTCTTAAACACTCCACCATCATTCCTGTCCCCAAAAAGACAATAATCACCTGCCCCAACGACTACCGCCCAGTAGCACTCACCTCCATCATAATGAAGTGCTTTGAGCGGTTAGTCAAATTATTCATCACCTCCTCCCTCCCTGACTCTCTGGACCCCCTGCAGTTTGCCTACAGAGCAAACAGGTCCACAGACGACGCCATAGCCCTCACCCTCCACACTGCCCTCTCACACCTGGACCCGAAGAACAGGAACACATATGTGAGAATGCTGTTCATTGACTACAGTTCAGCATTCAATACCATTGTGCCCTCCAAGCTGGCCATCAAGCTCAGAGACCTCGGGCTCAACAGCGCCCTCTGTGACTGGATCCTGAACTTCCTGACGGGCAGACCCCAGGCAGTGCGGGTGGGAAACATCACATCCTCCACCCTGATTCTCAACACCGGTGCCCCTCAAGGCTGCGTGCTCAGCCCTCTCCTCTACTCCCTGTTCACCCACGACTGCGTGGCCACACACAGCTCCAACACCATCGTGGAGTTTGCTGACGACACGACCGTCATCGGCCAGATCACAGACGATGACGAGACGGCGTACAGAGAGGAGGTCGAAAACCTGACATCTTGGTGCCAGGATAACAACCTCCATCTCAACATCAGCAAAACAAAGGAGCTGATTGTGGACTACAGGAAGCAGCAGGGAGAGGGACACGCCCCCATCGCCATCAATGGGACTACGGTGGAGAGAGTCAGCAGCTTCAGGTTCCTTGGGGTCCACATCACTGAGGACCTGACATGGACTCATCACTGAGGACCTGACATGGACTCATCACTGAGGACCTGACATGGACTCATCACTGAGGACCTGACATGGACTCATCACTGAGGACCTGACATGGACTCTTCACTGAGGACCTGACATGGACTCTTCACACCACCATCATCACCAAGAAAGCTCGACAGCGGCTCTTCTTCCTCCGCAGGTTGAGGAGGTTCAAAATGGACTCCAGGATACTCTGCAACTTCTACAGGTGCACCATAGAGAGTATCCTGACCTTCTTCAGGTGCACCATAGAGAGCATCCTGACCTTCTTCAGGTGCACCATAGAGAGCATCCTGACCTTCTACAGGTGCACCGTAGAGAGCATCCTGACCTTCTACAGGTGCTCCATAGAGAGCATCCTGACCTTCTACAGGTGCACCATAGAGAGCATCCTGACCTTCTTCAGGTGCACCATAGAGAGCATCCTGACCTTCTACAGGTGCTCCATAGAGAGCATCCTGACCTTCTAAAGGTGCACCATAGAGAGCATCCTGACCTTCTACAGGTGCACCATAGAGAGCATTCTGACCTTCTACAGGTGCACCATAGAGAGCATCCTGACCTTCTACAGGTGCACCATAGAGAGTATCCTGACCTTCTACAGGTGCACCATAGAGAGCATCCTGACCTTCTACAGGTGCTCCATAGAGAGCATCCTGACCTTCTACAGGTGCACCATAGAGAGGATCCTGACCTTCTACAGGTGCACCATAGAGAGGATCCTGACCTTCTACAGGTGCACCATAGAGAGGATCCTGACCTTCTACAGGTGCACCATAGAGAGCATCCTGACCTTCTACAGGTGCTCCATAGAGAGCATCCTGACCTTCTAAAGGTGCACCATAGAGAGGATCCTGACCTTCTACAGGTGCACCATAGAGAGGATCCTGACCTTCTACAGGTGCACCATAGAGAGGATCCTGACCTTCTACAGGTGCACCATAGAGAGTATCCTGACCTTCTACAGGTGCACCATAGAGAGGATCCTGACCTTCTACAGGTGCACCATAGAGAGGATCCTGACCTTCTACAGGTGCACCATAGAGAGGATCCTGACCTTCTACAGGTGCACCATAGAGAGGATCCTGACCTTCTACAGGTGCACCATAGAGAGGATCCTGACCTTCTACAGGTGCACCATAGAGAGCATCCTGACCTTCTACAGGTGCACCATAGAGAGCATCCTGACCTTCTACAGGTGCACCATAGAGAGCATCCTGACCTTCTACAGGTGCACCATAGAGAGCATCCTGACCTTCTACAGGTGCACCATAGAGAGGATCCTGACCTTCTACAGGTGCACCATAGAGAGCATCCTGACCTTCTACAGGTGCACCATAGAGAGCATCCTGACCTTCTACAGGTGCACCATAGAGAGTATCCTGACCTTCTACAGGTGCACCATAGAGAGCATCCTGACTGTTCTTTCTGTTGCCGTCTGGCAGACGTTACCGCAGCATCCTGGCAAGGACAAGAAGATTCGGAGACAGTTTCTTCCCGCGGGCAGTGAGACTGTTAAACACCTGAACTGCTGAAACAACTTCAAAACATTCCTCTGCTACTCAGTAGTATGTATCTAATATCTAATATCTAATATATATCATTCCAATAACTTGTATATAGACTCGTACTGCACTATTACACTTTTTTTTACTCTCACTTTTTTTTTTAAACCATTTTTCTTTTTGTATTACTTAGTCTGTATATATTGTCTGCTTATCTGTATTATTGTGTTGCACTGTTGGAGAAGCCTGTGCGGACCAGCTGTGTGGGATTGTGGAGCTTCTATTCAACCTGAGCCTGAAGCAAGGGAGGGTACCACAACTGTGGAAGACGTCCTGTGTGGTACCTGTGCCAAAGACCCCTCACCCCAAGGACTTCAACAGCTACCGGCCGGTGGCGCTGACATCACAGCTGATCAAGACCCTGGAGAGGCTGGTCCTTGGACACTTCCGGCCCCTTGTGGGACCATCAATGGACCTGCTGCAGTTCGCCTACCCGCCTGCCATCGGGGTGGATGACGCCGTCACACACATTTAGTTTAAAAAGAAATGATCCTCTGATTTACAGACGTCTCTTTCCCCATGTTAGTCAATGGGAGAAAGTCTTTCTGGCCCAGTGACGCCACGGACTGATACGGACGTTGTAGTACCGCCGTTTGGCCACTAGGAATGTTTTCCTCAGAGTCCGGAGCACTTCCTGGGGGCTTGGGAGGAACTCTCTCAAAATAAAGGCGTCCCACAGGGATCAGACCTGGGGCCCCTGCTGTATACATGTGAAGAGGCCCTATCCTGATGATGCTCTTTTCACCCTCTGTCTGAAACCAGGGCCCAGACTGCTCTGATTGGTTAGCTGGCCGGCTCTGTTGTGATTGGTCAATGTGCTTAGAGATGTCCGGCCCCTTAGCCTATCACGTACAATGTGTTCCATAGTGATGTCACTACGTTCAGGAAGTGATATAGTAACTGTTGTGATTGACAGACAGGTGTCTCACCCACTCGTCGTCGGAGAGGATGATGGCCAGGTGGGACTCGTGGTCGTTGCACCAGGCTTTAGCCTCGTCCCAGGACAGGAGAGTCTGACTGAACAGGTAGCAGCTGCTCTGGAAGGTGGTCCAGGCCAGAGGACAGCACCCCTCTACTGAAGAGCCTGAGAGAGAGACAGGTGAGAGACAGACAGGTGAGAGACAGACAGGTGAGAGAGAGGTGAGAGAGAGGTGAGAGAGACAGGTGAGAGAGAGACAGGTGAGAGAGAGACAGGTGAGAGAGAGGTGAGAGAGAGGTGAGAGAGAGGTGAGAGAGAGGTGAGAGAGACAGGTGAGAGAGAGACAGGTGAGAGACAGACAGGTGAGAGACAGACAGGTGAGAGACAGACAGGTGAGAGAGAGACAGGTGAGAGAGAGACAGGTGAGAGAGAGACAGGTGAGGGAGACAGACAGGTGAGAGAGCAGACAGGGGATAGATTACAGGTGATAGAGAGACAGGTGAGGAGAGACCTGGACAGGTCGAGCAGACAGACAAAGGGGTTTGAGAGACAGGACAGGTGAGAGAGAGACAGGTGAGAGACAGACAGGTGAGAGACAGACAGGTGAGAGAGAGACAGACAGACAGGTGAGAAACAGTGAGAGACAGACAGTTGAGAGAGATATGTGTGTGTGTGTGTGTGTGTGTGTGTGTGTGTGTGTGTGCGTGTGTGTGTGTGTGTGCGTGTGTGTGTGTGTGATGGTGGTTCTGTGTCTGGTGTGTGTGTGGGCGTGTCTGTGGTCTGTGTGTGTGTGGGTTGTGTGTGTGTGTTGTGGTGTTGTGAGTGTCTGTGTGTGGTGTGTCCTGTGTGTCTGTGTGTTGGTGTGTGCGTGTGTGTGGTGGTTGTTGTGGTTGTGTGTGTGTGTGTGTGTGTGAGTGTGTGTGTGTGTGTGTGTGTGTGTGTGTGTGTGTGTGTGTGTGTGTGTGTGTCTGTACTGTTGTGGATGAGGTGTTCGAGGGAACATTTGAGCTCGGAGACCATCTTGCTGAGAGAGTCCAGAGCGGAGAGCTGCTTCAACGCCTCGGACACTGAACACACACACACACACACACACACAGACACACACAGACACACACACACACACACACACATACACACACACACACGCACACACACACAGACACAGACACAGACACACACACACACACACACACACACACACACACACACACACACACACACACACACACACACACACAGTGTCAGTCACAGCAGTGTGGTTGAAGGTGTTTCAGGTGAAGTGAGACTCACCTGAGTTCAGCTCATCTTTGTTGCTCTCCACTGCAAACCTTACCCTCTGAACATCTTTAACTGCATCTGAGGAAGAGGAGGAGGAAGAGGAAGAGGAGGAGGGGGAGGAGGAGGAAGAGGAAGAGGAGGAGATGTAGTCAAGCGTCGCTCCTGGACGTTTAGAGAGTGAGAGTGTGTTGGCCTGGAGCTAATGAAGCTAACGGAGCTAGCAGAGAGACCACTAGCAGTTTGGTACTCCCTTACAGCAGGAATCCCCCTCACACACACACACACACACACACACACACACACACACACACACACACACACACACACACACACACACAGGTGAAACACATGCACATTCTACTGAGAACCTTTCAGTTGAATGTTTTTCAGGAGTGAGTGTAAGAGTATTTAATTAGTAGCCTATGTGTGTGAGGTTTAATTTTCAGTAGTGTGTGTGTGAGGTGAGTTTGATAGGGTGTTACC